GGGTAATAAAGTTTGCTTTAGGTATTTGTCTTGAATCACTTTAGGATGTGAAATTCATGTTAATTTTTCTTCCCATTTTACTGTAAAAGGAAGTGTTGAATCTTTCTTCCAATAAAAAAGAAAAACCCTGTGGACTTTTCCATTTGTTTCCATGTTTCTTACCCTAAAGGTATCTGAAGACTGTCTGGAGTGCAAGAACTTGCACTCTCTAGAAAAACAGAACTAGCTTGTATTGCTACAGAGGTCCTTCAATAAATGATGAAACTCTCTTAGAAGTGGGTGCCTAATCCCCAGTTTGGGATGAGGGGAGAGTGAAATTATGTGTGCTTTGTGTGGCCTGACTTGGGAGAGTCTCCATTTTTTCATCTGGAATTAAAAATGAAATCCTATCTGATATTCTGTTGCAAAATTAAGTCACTAAATCAATTGGTCCTGGACTTTTCTTTTTCCTTTTAGCAAAAATCTGCCTTAAAGGTGTTCTTAATTAAAAATTGACTGAGCACTTTCTCTATAGAATATTATGGTTAAGAAGCATTTTTTCTGGAGCAAAAAGAATGAAGCTATTACTTTTTCATTCATCCTTAGAACTATTTTGTTTTCAAGTGCTCTTGTAAACAGAACCCAAACTTGATGGATAAATTCTCTTTGCATAGCTTTGTTTTCTTATATTTGAGCCATATTTTTAAACATCATTTTCTGCTTTGGTAGGAATTTGTTTCACTTTTGGCTTTTTCAACCTGTTGATTACAACCTGCCATTGTAAATGAATGATATTTACCAGTACCAGTTAGCAGGTGGGCCAATTTAACCTCCCCACAGTCCATCCATAAAGCTTAGAGATTATTTCACACTTCATCCATTTCCTGGCTAACTCGGTTGCTTAAGCAACCAAGTTATGCCAGTTGCTGAGAATTCCTAGTCAACAGGAGATGTTTTTCCTTTGAAAAATGGCAAGATAACTACTGCTCTCAATGGGGTTCAGTCAGAAAGAACCTACTTTGCTCTTTGGTTTGTCAATTTTTCATGAGGTAGTTTTCTGTCTAATTTTATTTCTCAGTTCCCACAAAGTTACTCAGAAGGCACAGATCTGGTACATTTAGAGCAATACCTTTGTAAAGTGTCCATTCTGAGGTTGCCCATCTGAGCTAGCTTGGGAAAATGGCTTAGAATCTTTCTTTGTGAATACAAACAGCTGTTGGCTAATTACATCATACTTTAAACTATATCTTCCATGATTGTTGTCTATTCTTCACTCTAGATGAGAGATTCTTAACCTCTTTTTATGTCATCAGCCCTCTTGGCAGTCTGGGAAAACCCAAGGATCCCTTTTCAGAATGATGTTTGTGGCCTACATTCCTCCTTTAAGTTAAAAATTAATGAAAATAAAGATACAATTTTTTTCAAGTTCACAGATACTTCCCACCCCCAAATCTATCCACAGACTCAGGTTAAGAATTTAGAATGAAAAGGACAACAGTACCTCTTCATCATCATCATCATCGTCATCATCATTGCTAGCATTCATGTAGCAAAGTGCTTTACAGAGATCTCATTTGAGGACCATTTGATCTTCACAACCCAGTAAGGTAGATGCTATCATCCCCATTTTACAGCTGAGGAAAAGGAGTCTCAGATGAAATGACTTACCCAGGATCACATAGCCAGTCAGTGTCTAAGGCTTAATTTGAATTCAGATCTTTCTGACTAGGGTCCAGTACTTTAATCAATCAGTTTATACTTCCCATTAGTTTCAGATAAAACCAAATGCTAAGGTTTTCGCTGGTGTCATACATAAGCTTTTAGGAAGGGAATATACTTTTCTGCTTTTTGTAAGACAAGAAAGTGAATTTGTAGGTCGTTGACAACTTTTCTCCTGTATTTTAGTCCTATTTGGTTACATTTTAAGGCTCTGCTCCAAGGCAGCGTGGTAGAGCTCTAATCACTGATCCCTCCTGGGTTGTGACGCTGAGCAAGTCACTTAACCTCTGTGAGTCCCAAACCACTCCCTAGGGATTTTCCACTAAGGTGTATGGAAGGTTATCCATCACTCTTCTTTTGAGTCATGGAGGCAATTCCCACCCCTGGCATTTTCTACAAAGATGAAATCACAGCCCATTAACTAGAACTTAGTTGGAACATTTTATAGAGGCCTATCTGTGATAGCTCAACTGCTCAGCCAAGGCACCGGGTGTTCCAGAGGATAGAGCTGCAGATTCAGAGTCAGGAAACCCTAAGTCTGAAGCCAGCTTCAGACAGTCTCTAATTGTGAGGCCCTAGGCAAGTCACTCTACCTCTATCCACCTCAGTTTCCTCATCTGTAAATTGGGGCCAATGATGGCACCTACCTCCCAGGGTCTTTGTGAAGATCAAATGAGATATTTGTAAAGTGCTTAGTACAGTGCCTGGGACATAGTGGGTGCTATAGATATGCTAGCTATTGTTGTAACTTGACCAAGCTTATTTATTGAAATATTTTCTGTACTTGATGAACGAACAGGACAATGTCCAGGTTCCCTTCCCTAACTTCAAAGGACCCAATATATCAACTGTAGGTCACAAAACATTTTAAAACATTGTATGTTTTAAAGCATTTTGTCATTCGCAAAGCCCCCTCATATGCATTATAATGTTAGAATTGAACAACAGCATTGTTAGATAGAATCTGTTTTATCCCCATTTTATAGTTACAGGAATTGAACTTTAAAGAATTTTAAGCAACTTGCTCACGATCCCGTAGTTAATTAGTGGCAGGGTCTGGCCCCAGACTTAAGCCTTCTGGCTGCCCATTGCTCTTTCTGTTTTATTATACCCCCTGAATTGTCATAAAACAATTTTTTGTTTATAAAGCTGCAACGTTACCTCCTGATAACTGATACATTTCACTAACCAAAGAAAAGATATGAGCCTCAGAGAATGTCTGTAACTAGTAGCATGTACCCAACCCACACCCCCCTTCTAAAGTTGTTTCCTTTTCTGCCCACCATTGTCATGGGGAGGCCAATATGAAATAATTTGTGAAGTCTGCTTTTAGTGGTGATCTGCAAAACAGAATATATTTTTGATTCTGAAAAGCCTGCTCCCTTCCCTCCCCCCACAGCCCAACCCTGAAATTCTCTGGGCTTTAAAAGAATGTCCAGTAATGGACCACACCTATGAAGCCCAAGAAAACAGGAAAGCTCTGGGCAGTGCTCTTTTGGAATGCTATTGTTACACTTTTTATTTCTTGGGAGGGTCTCTTTTATCTAGCCTTCCTTGTTTTGCTTTTACAAAATGTCATTAGATTAATAACTGAAGGTAGTGCTTTTTTTTTAGACTACCTCAGTATTCTGAAAATAGATACCTTCTAAAAGGAAATTGGTTAAAATCTGTTCTCAATACTAGAAATGAGGTCAATCAGCACAAACAAATTACAGTATTTCTCATTCTGTATACATATTTAACCCTTCTATTTTAATGAAAATAGTTTTTTTAGTAGCTTGTTTTTTATACTTGTTATATACTACATGGTTAAATGGGGATATATTGTGGTTATGAGAAACACTTAAATTAAGGATATAATTCCCCATCCATTCTAGAAAATTATCTATTCTTTACTCTGAGAGTTAGATGGTGGAACAGGAATTTTTTTTTTTTTTTTTAGGCAACTGGGGTTAAGTGACTTGCCCAGGGTCACACAGCTAGTAAGTGTCAAGTGTTTGGTCTGAGGCCGGATTTGAACTCAGGTCTTCCTGACTTCAGAGCTGGTGCTCTATCCACTGCACCACAGGAATTTTTTTTTAAAATATGTTTTTTGCTCTCTCTGCCTTTGGCCAAATTTCCTTCTTTCTTTCAGTCTAGTTCTACCTAAAAATGAATTTTTAACTTTACAAATTTGTGTTCCTTAGTGCCTCTTACTGTATTTCACAGAACAGAATACTTTACAATGGAATCTCTTTTAATTCCTTTAAAGTATTTTGAAGAACAGATGACCTTAAAATGTATGATCAGGTAATGTATATCTGGTGCTTAGTAAGCCCTAAAGTACTTGTTGATATCAGCTATTATTAATATTAGTTTTCTAGTGTAAAGAGTCAGCTAAGTGGCACAGTGGATAGAGCCCCAGACCTGGAATCAGGAACACTCGAGTTAAAAATCCAGCTTCAGACATTCACTATCTGTTGATTCTGGGCAAGTCACTTAACCGCTGTCTGCATCAGTTTTTTCACCTGTAAAGTGGGGGTAATAATAACACTGCTCACCCTCCCTGAATTGTTGTGAGGATAAAATGAGGATGATATTATAAAACCCTTTGCAACCCTTAAAGTACTGTGTAAGTGCTAGCTATTATTATTCCAATGTAGTTAATAATATAACCATTTTCATAATAACTAAATGAATTGTATACATTATTTTATTAGTTCTTAAAATGTTCCTGTGAAAAGCTAGTTATATAAATTCTGTACTCATCCAGAGATATAAGCCATTAGGTGATTATTCTGTCCTTAAAACATCTTAAGCCTTAATGGTTATAACTTTTATTTTCCTTGTTAGATGAGGCATGAAATTAAAATTGTTTTAGTAATAAATAAAGAATGGTAGTGCTACTTTATTCTTTGAAAAATATATTACAGTCAATTTTAGAGCATCTTAATATTTTAAGGGCACCATTCCTCTCTGCCCATTCTACCAAACACTCCCCTGCTACCGCCAGTTCCATTTCCCCATTAAAACAGTCCTTAGATCTTTGAGGAAGCTGAAGGAGACCATATGACATTTCTTTGGAGTTAACACCAGAAGAATACCCTGTGTTGGTTTTTCCTACAGTTTTGCACTTCTTAAGCTTTTTCTCTGCACTTTGCTTTCATCCCCAGTGTCTGTCTCTTTCTTTTTCTTTGTTCTCTCCAGACCTCCCACAACTTCTCTTTGTCTCTGTTCCCATCCTCTAGTTTTCTTTTTCCACCCCATCCCTTCACACACACACTCTCTCTCTCCTACATGGTATCTCCTTTCTCTCCCTTCAGGATTATGAAAGTAAATTGCAGGCCCTACAGAAGCAGGTTGAGACCCGCTCGCTTACTGCTGAAACCACTGAGGAGGAAGAGGAAGAAGAAGAAGGTGAGATCTTTAGACCAAAAGCTCTCCTGAGTATAAGTTTTGACCAGTTCATTTTTCACTGGTTATTAGTTATCTATTCCATCATAGCGTCCTAGGTAGAGAATGGAAGGGACCTTTGAGGTCATCAAGCCCAGATGGATGAAGTAAGTGAAACAGAGAAGAGAGGTGACTTCTGTTAGTAAGTGTCTGAGGTGGCATTCTTACTGATGCCCTCCCCACTCTGCTGTGCTGCCTCTCATTAATGGTGTACGCAGTGTTCTCCATAGCCATCCCTGCCTTTGTTTGCCATGTCACTGAGCCAGGTAGTGGTTTAATGGATCTTCTTCCCTGGAAACTAAGACCGCATTCTTTGCTTTTTGTTTTTGTTTTTGTTTTTATTTTTGTTTTGTGAGGCAATCAGGGTTAAGTGACTTGCCCAGGTCACACAGCTAGTAAGTGTCAAGTGTCTGAGGCTAGATAAGACCACATTCTTGAGGAAGCCTTTAGTTGATACTGGTATTAATCACAGCTTCCTAGAGTCCCTGAATATTGCCTTTCTACCTAATTAGCACTATTCACTCATCTCCTGGCATGAAAGAGGGTAGGAAAACGGTAGAACTCTACGGTAGAATTCTAATAAGTATCTTAAAGTTCATTATGGTAATGCACTTTAGTCACAAATTAGGCTGACATCCTAGATTTCTTTTTTAATGTTTTATAATATATCCCCAAACTAGAGAATTGGGGTCTACTGATAGATAATAACACCCCCATTTATATAGTACTTTACAGCTTAAAAAGAATTTTTCCCACAGTGACCCCATAACGTGCAAATATACTCTAATGAGAAAACCAAAGTGGAGAGATTAAATGACTTTCCCCTAGTGACAAGCTGGCAAGCGCCCAAGGGCTTGAATTCAAGCGTATAGATGCCAGACCCAGTGCTTTCCAGGGTAACATGCTGCTGGCTCAGCCTTTTTTCAGGTGGATCTCAGGCAGTTGCTAGTTGTGATCCTCCAGCTCTTTCAGGCCCCCTTGCCCATGGTCAGCCTGGATTTCCCAGCAGGAGAAAGAATACAGCTGACAGTGACCAGCACATTGTTCCTTAAGTCTCTCTGGGAATTTTATTTCAGAAACCCCTCTTCATCATGGTCTTTATTAGCTTTTATCTCTCTGTCTCCTGATATGTAGGAATCTCAGAACTTTAGGAAATTGAAAATAGATTCTAAGAAAAAAAGTTGTGGACTACTGTTTTATGTTCAGTAGCTAGGTGGCTCAGTGGATAGCATGGTGGGCCTGAAGTTAAGAAGACTCATCTTCCTGAGTTCAAATCTGGCCTCAGATACTTGCTAGCTATGTGACCTTGGGCAAGTCACTTAACCCAATTTGCCTCAGTTTGCTTATCTGTGAGATGAACTGGAGAAGGAAATGGCATACCACTCCAATATCTTTGCCAAAAAAGCAAATGGGGTCACAAAAAGTCAGACACAACTGAACAACAACAACAGCTTTTGTGTTTGTGTGTATTTTGTAAGTAGTTAAGGATTGGCTTTGTTTTTTTTTACTTCTCACTGTCTTCCTTAGCCATTTGGAACACAACAAAGGTTAAGAGGAGTATCAGAACATTCATTTTAGCAGCCCGTTAGGAATATATCTAGTTAACTAGTTATTTGCTTGACCATTTTAAAATATTAGTATATTTAGAGTGTAAATACAAAGAGCGATTAGAAAACTTGTTGAGTTTTGTGTAAACAGCTTTAGCTAAGAAGATATGTAGTTTACTATTTCAATTTCTGATAGTCATTTAAACTTACTGATTCTGATTTATTGGTTTTCTTCTCTCCCTTTCCCCCTCTTTCTCTCAAGTACCCTGGACACAACACGAATTTGAGCTGGCACAGTGGGCATTCCGGAAATGGAAATTTCATCAGTTTACCTCATTAAGAGATCTGCTCTGGGGAAATGCAGTTTACCTGAAAGAAGCCAATGCTATCAGCGTAGAGTTGAAGAAGAAGGTATGGGGTGTGTAGGAGTCACTCAACAATGTTTCCTAAATTCCAGAAGCCTTCTTTCTGCCTATTACATGAGTAATTTTTCAGTCTCTCTTTTGATTCACCTGCTCAATGCTGCAAAATACATAAATTACCTAAGTTTAATACATAATTTTCAGTCTAGAAAGGACTGCTTCACATTGCAGTTGAGGAAACTGAGTTGATTGGCAGTAAAGAAATATAATGCTAGAAAAATCTTTTCTAGAGGTCCATTTACCTTATTGACCTCCTGTTTCCTACAGATGTGTGTGAATACACACACTTTATTGATTCATTATTAAACTCTATGACCCTTTTCCAGCAACTTTTTCCTCTCTCTGAATCTCTTTAGTACAATTCCATCTATATTAATCTAAAATCTATGATTTTACTTTGTTGTTCTACAGGTCTTTTTTCCGCCAAAATTAACATGATACATTTCATTAATATTAACGTCCCATTCTCATACTTTGAGTTTAAACAAAACTATACTTGATTCAGGTTAAAATTTCCAAAATTATGTCCTGCAAAAGAAAGCAAGCTCATCTTGGAAAACTTGTGTTATTCCCAGTGATTAACCTCTAAATTAGAAAAGAATTGAGACCAGGAAAATTTATTTTCTAATCACTCATTGATGGTTTGAGTACTTACAGCCTCAATCTTTTTCTACACTAGGCAAGTTTTAATTGCTTTACCTCTTATATATACTTTCAGATAACATTTAGAAAACATTTTCAGAAAACATTAAATAAAGGCCAATGCTGTCCTTAATTTTTCAGTGGTATTTTCTCTCAATTCAGGTACAGTTTCAGTTTGTTCTGCTGACTGACACACTCTACTCCCCTTTGCCGCCTGAGCTGCTGCCCCCTGAGATGGAGAAAACTCAGGATGATAGACCTTTCCCTCGTACAGTTGTGGCTGTGGAAGTACAGGATCTGAAAAATGGAGCAACACATTACTGGTCTTTGGAAAAACTCAGGTATGAAAACCCTATAGAAGAAATATTGTTTTGGAAATTGATAAATTTAGAAATAACAGTGAGATATCCAAATGTTTATACTTTTCAAGTTAGTGTCCTGGAGACCCCTTTCTTTTCTTGGTCCTTCCTAACTTTGGGACTTCCTTTTGCCTTTCAGAATGGCAGACTGTGATATAATTACCCTTCAACATTTGTTTCTATTTTTAAGCATCATAACCTAAATTCTCAAAGATCTTTCCACAATTTTTACCAGACATAATTTAAAATTACTCTCTGAAGAAAAGCTATTTTTTAAGTCTTTTCCATGTTGCTTGTATGCATACAATTTTTCTGTCCTCACGAGGACTTATTTTTTTAACTGTTCTGACAATCTGACCATTCACTGATAAACAGAAAAATCTATGCATTTGGTTAAGATGAGAAAGTCCCTTTTATTTCTGTGCCACTAAGGTAGTACATGTCACTGGACCACATTTCTCCTATGAATTGTGAAGCCTGTCAGGCGGGTAGCCAGATTGGGTCCTGTTGGGTCTTTCTCTACATTTGTATATACTTTGGAAAACTAAATATTCTTTAGTATTTAATTATTTATTAACTATTTAGTATTCTATAATATAAATATGCCATTTGATTTTTGTATTGACTCATATATTTTTAAAAAATGTTAAGTGACAGACTTACTGTCAATAAAACTATTATATGCAACAAAAGTCAACATCTTGTACAAAACCCTTATCCTTAAACAGACAGAGCCAAATGAACTAAAAAACAAAGACAGTGCTTTTCATTCTGTCCCCTTCCAGGCATGCACAAAGTTATGCCACCCTTATCCCTCCCTCCCGCCTTCTTTCCCTTCTGTCAAGATAGAAACAATTCTGGTTCTGCTGATGTCACACAGTATCACCTCATAAAAAACTGTCATTATTTTATTTGCTTCATTTTTTTACAGTTTTGTAACATTCTTTTATTATACCATGATTTATTTAATCATTCTCCTAATTGATTTGTTTCCAATTTTTGCTGTTATAGAGTAACTATGAGTTTGTTTGCATGGGTAGGTCCTTCCCCCTCTTTTTATGATAATTTTGGATAAATTCCTAAACATAGAATTGCTGGGTTAAATAAATAAAAATATGATCGGGTTTTTTTTGCCCTTTTTGAATGTTTCTATATTGCTTTCCAAAATGTTTGCTGTAACTTGCTGTCACAGTCACATTAGAGTACTGGTTTGCTGACAGCCTCACAAACATTGAAGTTTATGCTTTTGGGGCCTATTTTTGCCATTTTATAAGATGTGCTATTTTACAAATAGTGACACTGTGTAGTAGTAGTAATTTGTCATTATTGAGTTGAATTCAGTAATCCAGTTCAACAAGCCTTTGTTAAGAAACAACTATAGGAAAAGTGCTGGACTTGTGTGGGTTAGGCAGGGGAAACACAAAGACGAAAATGAAAGGTAGCCCCTGGCCTCAAAAGCTTCAGTTCTGCAGGGTAATAAATATATAAACAAAAGTTTCACAGCATCTTGTTAATAATTTATCTACTGTGTAGACAAAGGCTGGAACTGATGCGAGAGATGTATGACAGGGCTGGAGAAATGGCTTCCAATGCCCAGGACGATGGAGAGGCAGCAATGACTGGCAGTGACCCATTTTATGATCGGTTCCATTGGTTCAAACTGGTAGGAAGGTATGTACTTACTGTCCTGGCTCCTGTTAGTGATAAACTCATGTTAAGACTTTAGTCTTTACCAGTGGTGTGTTTTATACTTTTGGGGTTCCATTTGATGCCTTGCTTTTGTCTTCATATAATAGTATCAGTACTTAACAAAAACAAACTACCTGTTTGTGATTTCAAAGGTTTTTTTATGTTTAGAATTTTGTTGAGAAGCAAGGAAACATTAACAAATTTTGTAGCTTTGAGATTAGTGAATTAATTTCTTTTCAGTGGTAACTGATTTGCTTTTACCCTTATTTAGAATTTGAGTTGTGTTTTACACAAATAAAGACTGAAAGACATTTTTAAAGACATTAGAGAAATGGTAGAAGGATGATGCATAGCATCTTCTAGAAGTAAAGTATAACTTCTTTAATTCACTACTCTTACAATATAGTAAGTTTTTAAGAGTTAAAAGTTGCCAGACATGTTTCCTCTAACCAAGGTAAATGCTTCATCTGAAACACCATTCTATTTTGTTTCCCGACCTGGTATTTTATGAGGTATTGAATGAAGACTAAAAGCCTTTTCTCATTTTTTAACCTTTATTTTGAGCCTCTTTCTTTAGGCTACTTAAGGGGTTAGGGGAGAATGTGATTCTTTTTTGCGTACTGAATCATGCAGATGCTTCTTATTACCCCTATATGTAAACCCAGTATTTATCTGATTCTAGCCGTGTATTCTCTTGCTTTCTCTTAATTTTAAGAACCACATTTTGCTTTACTTTTCTCAGTTGTCCCTTACCTGATTTAAGATTTTTTTGTTTTTATACTACTTGTTTGATTGATTCAGCAGCTGGTTCCCTCCTGACGGCACCCATTTCTTTCTGTTTAACCAAATATTCCTCTCTCCCTGGCTGTGTTAATCAACGTGTTCCGTTACCTGATGTCTAGCTCCCCCATTTTCCACGGCTGTGTGAATGAGCGCCTTGCTGACCGTACGCCTTCCCCCACTTTTTCCACGGCCGATTCCGACATCACTGAGCTGGCTGATGAGCAACAAGATGAAATGGAGGACTTTGACGATGAGGCATTCGTGGATGACACTGGCTCTGACGCAGGGACGGAGGAGGGATCAGATCTCTTCAGTGATGGGCACGACCCGTTTTACGACCGATCCCCTTGGTTCATTTTAGTGGGAAGGTTGGTGAGGTTATTGTGAGAAAGGCAAAAAGGGACCAGCTCTTGCTATATAAGCATCTCTGTGCTACATGAATAAACTTAGAGTTAGTCATTCAAAATCCCTGGATACTCAGTCCATGTACTCCAAAGTATTAGGCCCTTTTTATATGTAAACATAGCCCTGGTTGGAGATAGAAATCATAAAGCCACAGACAGGGCTTTTTTTTTTTTTTAATTTAAAACATTTCCATAGTGGTCATTTTGTACAAGAAGACTCAAAAGAAAAAAAATGAAAACAAGGAAATGAAAAATAGCATGCTTCAGTCTGTATTCAATCAATATCAGTTCTTTCTCTGGAGGCAGATGATATGCTTCATCATTAGTCCTTTGGGATTGTCTTAGATCATTGTATTGCTGAGAATAGTTAAATCATTCACAGTTCTTCATCGAATAATTTTGCTGTTAGCGTGTACAATGTTCTCCTGGTCCTGTTCACTTCACTATGCATCAGTTCACGTGAGTCTTTCCAGGTTTTTCTGAAGTCATCCTGCTTGTCATTTCTTATAGCACAGTAATATTCCATTGCAATCACATACCACAGCTTATTTAGCCATTCCCCAATTGGTGGGCATCCCTTTGATTTCTCATTCTTAGCCACCATAAAAAGTCTTCTACAAATATTTTTTACAAATAGGTCCACTTCCCTTTTTTTGGATGCACAGACAGGATTTCTTTGGAGCCCAGATATTCTTTTTGGCACTATATGCAGTATCTAAGAAAAATGGGAAAATTACTTCAGGCATATTTATCTGCAGAGAAGAAATACAGTGAAGGCAGAGAGGATTGGATAGTCTACATCAGTCCAGAGTTATAGTGGTGTGATTAGCAGTAAGTGGAGTAAATATAAAATCAGGAACAACATTTATTTGCCGCCTCAATAGAGAAAGCCAAAGATTAAAAGAGTTACCTACTCTTTTGTGACTAAAATACATCCCTTTCTCATCAAATCTCTCCTTGAGGAAGTAACTAGGAATGTTCTCCTAACAAGTCTGAAGAGATGATGATTTATGAGGATGTTGCCTTAGGTCATTGTTTAGTACCACATGGTCATCCCATTTTTCTATGATCTGTACATCCATTTGTTACAGAAGAACACTTCCTTTGCATTAGCTTCAATCCTAACATTTTTGTTTGCATCCTTCCTTTCTATAATGAAGTGATTTCCCTCTCGACTCAGCCCCACATCATATAACAAAAACCAGATTGGCTAGAAAGTATGCCCGGTATTTCTGGGCATTAAAGTGACCATGTAGTTGCAGTGGAACCACATTATATTGTGCTGTTAATCTATGACATCATTACCAGATGGGAAAGCCCCATGTAGAAAAATACTATCAGACTCTAAGAAAAACACCAGATGGTTTAATATCATGTGCTTAGTGGAATTTATGAAGTAAATAGCTGATGATGATGATGCAAAATGGGAGAACAGCCTTTTGATGGTTAAAAAAAATCCTGTATTAAAGATTATATGATCTTAGGCACATATGAAGAGTGCTGGTTCTTGAACTTGATTTAAATATTAAGTGGAAATATTACTGGGAATGTCTGGTTTGCGGGGGAAATAGCTTTTAAAATTTGTTTCCGAAAATTAACCAATATAGAATAAAGAGACATTATATGTGTTGTTAGTCACTTGTTATCCTTCCTGTTGACTCATAGCCAAGAAAATAATCTTCAGAATCTCAGAGAAACTTACTTATTGTTATGTGGAATGAAAAGTGAGCATAATGAAGAATAAACTCCAAAACCACATAAAGCTTATTCTGACATATAGACGTTCAGGAATCTTAGCTGATGGCAAACTTCATACCAGAAATTTTGGAAGCAGCTGGAAGGAAGTATGTGTCCCCAAACTTCTTCATTACAGGATTCCTATGCACACCCCACAACTGCTAATCGGTTGTCCTGTGTTCCATGTAGTGAGCCTCATTCTTGTCTCATGTAGCATATCATGGTGGAAAGAGCAGTGCCTTGAAGGTGGACATAAAAGTTCTCTCTTCTCTGTCGCTAAACTATGTGACATTGGACAAGTGATACGACTGATCCTTAGCTTTCTTGAGAATTAGAGGTCAGACTAGATGACCTAAAAGCTGCCTTTGAGCTCCCTCTGAGCAGTGATGGACCATTTCTCTACTAGTGAGAGTCAGGCTGAGGACTGCCACTTGGTGACACTTGGAAGAGGCAGCTTGGGTTCACAACCCACCTGAAGGCAGAAATTTATTGACTCTTGAGAGATGTGTGTGTCGTTTTTCTCTTAGGTAAAGCCTGAACTGGCCGGGCAGTTTCATTCACTTCGATTGTATTCGACTCGAGTAGGTATAAAACAGTCACTTCTGCTTGATTCTTGTGGCCATTAGTGGAGTTGATTCTGTGCCTTCCCATTTGGGTAGGTGTCCTGGGCCTCATCTTGGTGGGGCTCAAGCCAGCTTTGCTTCGAGCTAATTTTGGAGCAACTGTAGAGACTGAAAGGCCAGAGAGAAATCCCAGAAATCAGTAAAATGAGGGATAAATATCTTCTCCATGTTTTTGTCCAGTGCTTACTGTCTTTGAACAGAAACACAATTTGTAGATTAGATTTTTTTGTTCACTCAGCACTGTATCTTGTGGTTAATAAATTGCTAAATGCCTTAGAAAGTAATCATCATCCAGTTTTTTCAAAATGTGAAGTCTTTATTTTATACATATCAGAGGAGTAGATTCCTTTTTTGCCTTTGTGTTGATTCACAAGATTGTATTTCCCCTTTAGGATATAACTAAAAATACTATTCAGTAGTAAAATTTTCCAATCTCTTGTGTTATTCTACTTGTAGCGTTTGATTTTCAGCCTTGGCTGCCTTTTACTGAATCCTTGTATGGAAATGAAAAGAGCTTGTCCCTTTAGCCATCTCTTATGACATGTGGGGATATCATGAAGCATTCAATAGTATTTAGAACACAGTGTTAAATAATTAATGTTTATGGGAAGGGGGAGGTTTAGAGTGAAAGAGATTATATTCTGACTTCTTTAAATGCTGGAATAGATATTCTGTATTTCTATAAAAATTGCTAGTTATGCTAAATATTCTCTTTTTAATGTTAGTTAAAATTTTCTGTTATATTCATTTTCTGTTCTGGTATGCCTGTGCCATTTTAACTTGCCATTGTTTCATCTAATATGTGTTTTGCCTCCACCACCCCTCCACTTTCAGTCTGCTCGGCCAAGGTTTAAGGGTACTCCATAATAGGGTGATTGAAAATTTCCCTTCTTTAAAGCATTAGAAGAATTTGGTCTCTAGTCTTCATTTTTCACTAAAGCATCCCTCAATACCAAAGAGGTTGTCATCTAGTTGGTGTGTTTATAGTAACTGTGGTCACAGGACACACCTGTCCTCAGAGATTATACCACTATAGAAATTCGCAGTTGCCTTCAGTCAGAAGTCAAATCTGCAAGATCATTGTGAGGCAGATTTGTATCTGTCTAAAAGAGCCATTTCCATTAACAACAACATATGAGTACTAAAGAAGGACCTTACCTTGTGTGAGTTTGTAATCAGTTCATTAGCCCATCTGAGAGGTAATCTTCCTTTAAAAAAGGTGAGTTTTGGATTTTTAGATGATCATTTTTTAAGGTTGGAATAGATAATGTGTAAGGTTCCTGCCTGATCTACAATTATATGTTCTCATGTAATTCATAAAGTACAGTTAGCCATCTAGACTCAGTGCCTTTGTCCTTTTCTCTAGTGAGTCTTAACAATCATTCATATACCCTCCCAAATTAGATTGTTTTCAGTGAAAAGAGGGTGCTGAGTCTGTGTGTGATCTTTAATAGTCAGATAAAGAGTCAGGGCAGACTGCATACTCTTTGGTAATTATATTTTGTCTTTCACTCTTGTGGGTGAGAAGCATAGTTCAGTACCCAGTTAAAGCAGATTTCAAATCTCATTAACTCTGCAACAGTAACCTGTATTTGCTAGTTTTGTGTGAAATCATCTTCAGAAGACCTAGGATTTAATCTTTTTCCTGAGGTTATTTTAAATTACATCACAGAGTTTAATACTCCCTGTTTTATTATTGCCTCTACTTTCGAGCAGACTGAAAAGGAAATAGATTCCATTTTTATTCTGTTGTAGATTTATAGTTATTTTGTTGCTTATGTACATTTATGTTTCATTTGTGGTTTTAAAGCTTTAGTAACCTTTTCTTTTTCTGTAATATAGTTTGCTTAATTTTAGTATTTTCGATGTTTAGTTAATTTGCTATGGAAATCTCTATATGTCCATTTCATATTTTTTGTGCCTTTGTTTCCAGTTTATATTATTTCAGGGTTAAAAGGACAGATTAGAGATGTATGTTTCATATGAAATAATCATTTAATTTCTTAGATGTTTACTGTTTTTCTTTTATATCAAAAGACCAATGTGTGCCATGTAAAGACAATGGATTAGTAGTAGGGGCCACTAATTGTTTCCTATTTGCTAATCTGAACTAATACCTGAAACTTTGAGTTGGTATCAGAGTTGGGTTGTTTTTTTTTTTAAATCTCACCAAAGCTTTTTTCTAAATAAAATAATTTCTACCAATTAATAGAAAAGGAAAGAAGCTAAATGTGAGAGGACTCTATTTAATTTGTGATATTAAAAGTTAGGTCTGTAATTATACATTTTTATCCCCACTCGGGATTTTTTTCATTCCTGATAATTTAGAGAGTGTGGAGAGAGAGAGAGAGAGAGTGTGTGTGTGTGTGTGTGTGTGTGTATACATATACACATACCCTTGAGAAATAGCTTTTTTGTTCTTTCTTGTAATTTTATCTTGATGCTCTTCCAATGTCCCCCAAAACTATTTTATTCGGAAAATTCTGGCTGTACAGGCTTTCTGCCTATGTATCTGTTTCTTCTATATGTCACTTTTCTTTCCTGACAGATGGAAAATCTTTTTTCTAATCAAAATTCTTTATCATAACGCTAATAGGCATTGTTGTGAGTAAGATCAGTTTCTCAAGCTGCACTCTGAGTCCCAGCCACATTTCTTTGTCCTTTATGTCTCTGCTTTTTGTTGTAACCATTGGGGGAGAAAAACAACAACAAACCATCTAATTCCATTCCATGTGCATAAAGGCCATTAAGTTCATCAATGGATTTTTTTTTCTCCTAACAATCTTCATAGAGTTCTGTGTGATCATTTAGCTCTCAATTGTCATTCATCCACCTGTTGTAATTGATGTAGAGAGTAGCGATGCAGTTCATTTGCCAGTTGTTTTACCAAGTACTTGATTGTGTTCATATGAACGACTGTCCTGTCAGAAGTTATTTAGAAGCAACCTAACAGTGCAGTATAGTCTGAGAGGGCACCTTATTAATAAGGTCAGCAAGAGACTTCATGAAGACTCCATGCATCCAAATACCAAATTCTCTCTATAGTTAATGTTATAATGTTTGTCTTTCTGCTTCTATCACTAGGGCATTTGTATACCTGAGTAACCTGTTGTACCCAGTACCCCTGATTCATAGAGTGGCTGTTGTCAGTGAGAAGGGCGAAGTTCGGGGATTTCTGCGTGTGGCAGTACAGGCTATTGCAGGTAAGTAAGTGCCATTTCATAAAACAGCCCTTTTTTTGATTTAATCTCTGTCTTGAGGCTTAGCAAAAATTCATCACTTACATGGTCCTTACTTTTATTATTTGTATAAGTCCTGAGATATTTTTGTTTCTTAAAAAAGTTTTCTCCATGAAATTTCCAGTGCCCCACCATACTTCGGTGTGGACCTTAGGTTTATGAAGGTTATGCAAGTAAAATGCAGTTTCTTCCAAATTGCAAAGAGTGTGGTCCCAGTGACAGTCCATATCTGTCTACACATAACAAGAGAGGATCCTCATCATAAGGTTGGCCCCTAAGTTCCAGCATCTTTGATCATGATGATTCGTGATCCAGAACAGAAGGCATAATGGCCCTTGGTCAGAGGGTCATAGATTTAGAGCTGAAAGACTAGAGAAATGGAGGAGGAGACAGAGGGGGCTGCCAGTTCTGTAGTTTTTAAACCACTTACAAATGTTAATTTAAGTTTCAGTACCCTAAATGACTCTGGGAAATAGGAAACATTTAATAGTAAAGGTAAGGGCATGGGGGAAATGATTCTACAGATGGCTTAGAATGAGACCCAGTTAAGGCCAACCATCTGGAAAGTATTGCTAGATGAAACTGGAAGGATGACAACAAAGAGACATAAAATAGGATAGATTTGCCAGATTTATAATGACCTATTCTTATCATTGATAATAGTGGTACCAGACAATTGTACTATAGTAATCTGCTCTACTGCTACCGTTCTATAGTGTAGTAAAGTAACTAAACCATAGAAATATATTTTTTTTAATGAGGAACTGAAAGCACAATGGGCTTTGCTTAGGATTATAAAGTCTTCTGAAGTAAAGTAAAGACTTTAAGGATACAGGTGGTGGTGTTTTCATCACTTACTAACAATTAAAGAAATAGGCTTTAGAACTGAAAGGTGTATTTGGGGTATTAATAGCTGCCCCTGTCTCACTCCCCAAAAGAGATGGTTTTAGAATAAGATTTGGATTTCTGGACATATAAGAATGATGAGAAGTATTTATCTGGAAGCTTGAAAAGGGAGAAAACACACCTGCCTATACCCTAAATGCTCGCGCGCACACACACACACATACACACACATACACAAACTCATTCATTCATTCACTCACTCACTCACTCACTCACTCACTCAGAGAATAGCTGCAGTAAGCTTCCCTCCATCTGCTTCCTCAATGTCCTGCTGAACTGGCAACTGTGCTGCCTAAATCCACTAATAATATATGTTATCTTCTCTCTACTGGTCCTTATTGCCTTAAGGCTACCCTTTTATTCTTCCCTAATTGATTCTCTGTGCTCTTCTGTACCTTCTCTTCCTTCCTTGGGCCTCCTGCATCACTCCCTCCCCAATTCTCTCTTTGCAGAGGATCCTGCCTTTTTGTTTTCTGAGACAATAGAGGCTTTTCAACTCGGAACTTCCTGTTCTCCCCTATTCATAAAACCACTTAAAATCATCACTGATGAAAGATGGCTCTTCCTGTCATCAAGGGCTCTGCTTTTATATTTGATTCTGTTCCTTTCCGTACCTTTGGCAGATTGGCAGATTGCTTCTATAATCATTTTCTACCCACCCTCTTTAAGTTTCAGTATTCCTATCTAAAGCATACAAACATATCCAAGTCTCCTCAAATGGACTTCATTTGACTCTACCATTCCTTAGCAACTGATAGTCCTTCCAATGAGCTTGACTTTGATTCTTGGCAGAATTATAAAACCTATCATTATGAAGTGTTGGTTAATGGATGGCTAGAAAAGAAGGCAATGGTCACAAAGAGCCAACAGAGCTGCATTGAAATTGATTATGCCAGCATAACTTCATTTCTGTTTTTGGCAAAGTTACTAGGCTGGTAAATCAGGAAACTGCATAGATATTTGGTGTTCAGTCATTTCAGTCATGTCTGACTCTTCGTGACCACATAGAGGTTGGTTTTGGGGGTTTTTTTTTTGACAGAGGTACTGGAGTGGTTTGCAGTTTCCTTCTCTAGTTCCTTTTACAGATGAGGAAATGAGGCAAATAGGGTTAGGTGACTTGCCCAGGGTCATACTAGATTTGAACTCTGGAATGTAAGTCTTCTTTTTTTTTTTTTTTGGCTAGGCAGTGGGTCTAAGTGACTTGCCCAAGGTCACCCAGCTAGTAAGTGTTATGTGTCTGAGGCCGGATTTGAACTCAGGTCCTCCTGAATCCAGGGCCTGTGCTCTATCCACTGCGCCTCCTAGCTGCCCCGAAAGTAAGTCTTCTTGACGCTATCTGGGCCCAGCACTCTATCCACTGCACCACCTAGCTTGCTCCATGCGTAGATATAGCTTACCTAGATTTTAGCAAAATATTTAATCCAGTCTCTTAGGCTATTTTTGTGGACAAATTGGAGATAAATGGATTGAGTGGTAGTGCTATTAGGTAGATCCAGAAGTGGTTTGATGGCTAAACCCAAAGAGTTGTCATTAGTGATTTAATGTCACCTTTGGAAATAAGTCTTAAGTGGAGTGACCCAGGGATCTGTGTTTGCCCTCTGCTATTTAACATTTTTTATCAGTGACTTGGATAAAGGCCCAGAAGGTATCTTTATCAAATCTGTTGATGACACAAAGGTGTGAAGGGAGCACTAGTAATCTAGGGGGTGAAGTTATGATGCAAAATTATTTCAACGGGGGGCAGCTAGGTGGCACAGTGGATAGAGCTCTGGTCTTGGAGTCAGGAGGACCTGCGTTCAAATCCGGCCTCAGACACTTGACACTTACTAGCTATGTGACCCTGGGCAAGTTACTTCACCCCGATTGCCTCACCAAAAAGCAGAAAAAGAATTTATTTCATAAGATGAAATTTAATTGGGATCAGTGTAAAGTCTTACACTTGGGTCTCAAGAAAAATCAACTTCACAAGTTAAAAATGAGGGAATTATGGCTGTATAGCAATTGTCTAAAAAAAGATCTGAGGGTTTTGATGGACTATAAATTTATTATGAGTCGCAAGTGTGATATGGCCGCCAAGAAAGCTGTGATGTGATCTCAGCTGGCATTAAAAAGGCATGATGTTCACACTAGATCAGGGAGATGATTGATATTCCCTCTGTCCTCTGCCCTGATCAGATAACGTGAGATGCACTTGATGCATTTTAGGATGGACAGTGACCATATGGATGATCTTCAGAAGGGAACAAACAGATGCTGAAATGTCTCAAACTCAGATTGAAGGCAGTAGGCGTAATTGAACTTGGCAAAACAAGACTTAGTAGAAGGATATAGCTTTCTTTAAATATTTGAAGGACTAAGTGGAAGAGAGATTAAATTTGTTCTGCTTGGCAATTTGGAGAAATGGGTGAAATTACAGAGGCAGATTTAGACTTGATGTAAGAAGAAATTTAATAATAATTGGAGCTATCCATAAATGAAATGGGCTGCCTTAGAAGTAGTAAATTCCTACTTTCTAGAGACTTTCAAACAGAAAGTTGAACAATTATTTGTATATGTCATAGAGGGGATTCTCTACCTAGAGTTAGACAACCTCTAAATTCTCTTCCAGTTCTCAGCTTTTTTTGTTCTGTGAGTAAAAATCACGGTTACATAATGAAATCTGACTGACTCTCATATGTGGCTAATTCACAATTGATCATGCTACCATTACCTGGAGGTAAAAACATCTGGGTGAATAATGAATATTGTCCAGTCTATGACAACCAGTTGAGTAGCCCAGTGGTCTCTAAACTTTTAAAATGTGAATCCCATACAGTACAGTTTTTGAGCAGCTAGAGGGAAGCGTCGTCATGTTGGAAAGGGTACCTGCACAGCTACTACTGTGGGTGTCTGGGTCACAGCTCAGTTATAACTGACCTGAGGGACTGATACCTGGCAGAAGGAAGGAGGTTCAGAGCTTCACAGCATGTGAGGGGATCAAGGTTGTGAGTGTTGAGCTATAATGGGTGAAGGGTAGGTGTAGTTTATTGAAGACAAACTCCACAATTGTATTTCACAGAGAGGAGGGGAGGCAACCCGTCTTCCCACCCTCTGGCTGATCACTCACCGCTTCAAGTCATACCATGGCCCCCACTTTATAGACCACTGGAATAGACAATCCAGCGAGTTCATCCATACCCAGTATGTATAGGATCATTGGATCTTTGTCTGCAAGGAACCCAAGAGATCATCTAGTTTAGTTTAAACACCTCACTTTGCAGATGAGCAAACTCAGATCCAGAAATATTAAGCAACTTGAGCAGTCAAACAGGTAATAAGTAGCCAACCACTATTTAAACCATGAGCCTCAGACTTTAAATTCAGTGCTCCTCCGTATTTTGAAATGGCACTGCTTTAGCCATGAGCTGAATCCAGATTTTAATAGATGGAAGAGAAGGGAAAAGGACTGAATCACAGATCGGAAATGTGTTTGATTCCAAGGTACTTCCATATTTTTAATATCATTCTGCTAGTAATGATATATGGCAGTCTCTTACATATATCAGACGCCTAGTAAATGTTTATTGGGTTGAAGCATGGAACAGTGCAGTCTCAAAAGAATCACAATTTCAGGTGACCCAGAGATCAGTGGAAAGATGTTCAGTGCTTGTGTGTAGCTTGCTGCATATTACCAATGATGGTGGTGCATGCAAAGTGGAGTGGGGAAAAAACCTCAAACTCATGTCTGATTGGACAAGGAGGTAGGCTAGTGTGACAGATGGGCAGCCAGATTATCGCACTGACCTTCATGAAATGATAAAAGATGCAGAGGAAGGCCTGTACATCAGACAGCTCTTCTATGGACATTTTTGGAAAGATGTGGCAAAAATTGCAGAATAGAAATATGTAGATGGGTTGCAAGGTGGGCAGGTGTTGTACACTCTTACATTGATGAGATCACAAATCCATTAAAATATAAATCAATTCTTTACTGTTTGCTTCCTAGCTGTTAATCTTAAAAACTACAAGTTGATTCTAGACAGCATCTGCTACTATTCTGGAATAAGTGGATAAAGGAA